GTCCGGGGGGTCGATGGGCGTTGCCTCCTCCTGCTGCTGCTGTGACTGCGGCATGAGCTCGTAGCTTCCTCCTCCTGCCATCACGTCCATGTTCTGCTGGCCTCTCTCATTTTCAGCTATCTATCATCATTTGTTATTCCACAATTCAGTCACTTTACAAATCTCTCTGTGTATATATGTGTGGCAACATATATAAATGGTTGCATCTTAGAGAGAGAGAGAGAGAGAGAGAGAGAGAGAGGATCCAACAACATAAATAAATAAATAATAATAATAATAATTACCTTTGCTCGGAGAAGCTGGTTATTGTTGTGCAAGTCGATTTCCTGCAATTTTTAACATTAAGGTAAAATAAAATATCATCCCTAACTAATGATTCATATCATTGTCTGGGTGCAGAAGGTGTTCAAATAATAATAATAATAATTACCTTTGCTCGGAGAAGCTGGTTATTGTTGTGCAAGTCGATTTCCTGCAATTTTTAACATTAAGGTAAAATAAAATATCATCCCTAACTAATGATTCATATCATTGTCTGGGTGCAGAAGGTGTTCAAATTTTCTGGTGATGTATCAACCTTAAAAATAATAGTCTCTAGTGTAAATAAATAAATAGATAAAAACTAATTGTACTTATCTCAAGACTCAACCAACAAAGGAATATCTTACTTATAGAAGTGTCCAGATCTGTAACAAATCTAATTTTGAGAAAATGATGAGGAACTTGAACCTTTATGGAAATGCATATCCTCCAATAGATTAGTAGCTTTGTTTTCATGATTTTTTTTTTCACGTAGTACTTGGTCATTAAATGGTTCTTCTAATTATACTATATCTCTCACATTTTACACCGGTACAAGTCCTTTTGTTTTTGTCTAATTTGTCTCCAAATTCTTTTATAATCATGGTATCCAAAAGTAATGGAGGCAGAACATCTTTTGCTGAGAAAATTCAATGAGTTTAAATGAAAGCAATGGGAATGACTATTCCAATGATTCTTCTGGCTTAGAGTTCAGGAAGCATATTCCTTTACAATATTCTGTCCCCATTTTCAAAGTTAATTGATTAAAATACTTTGTATATCTTTTATGTCTAAATTTCGAGTTACGGACATTTAACAATCTAAGTGATACAATCAAAACAAATAAACAATAATACAGCTCTACATATAGATTTAAATGCCTACACAATTACAACTTAAGTACTCCTATTAATCTTAATGTCTAAGAAACTCAAATCTTACAATGGACCATCCAATTCTTTTTATTTTATGAAACAAGAAACTTCTTATTATATGGTACCAATTGTCTAAGAAACTCAAATCTTACAATGGACCATCCAATTCTTTTTATTTTATGAAACAAGAAACTTCTTATTATATGGTACAAATTTTCTTTAGGTAATTATTAAGGGGTTTTATTTACATAACTCACATTATTTCTCATTATATAAAAATTTGTAGAGTAAAATTTGTGTAAAATTAAGAGATGAATAGAAATGCATGAGAATCAGTTACCCTTTTTTGCATGTACTCAATTTCTCGAAACAGCAGCTCATTCTGGTACAGTTGAGAAATTAGAAAAGTCAAGGGGAAAAAAAGAAAGAAGCAAAAACAAAACAAAAAGAAGAGAAAACTTGTTAGTCTGGCTATTGGCTAATGCAAAAGCAAACCAAATAAATTAGAATCAAATACTTGTAATGTAGGGGAAAAAAATACAAATATATGGCAGACCTTTTTGGTTCTGATTTTTGTAATTGCTTTCTCCAATTTACCCTCCAGGTTTTTGAGTTCCCTGTTACTTGAACTGCTCACGCTGTCACCCAGCATTTCCCTGGCAATATTGACATTGTTAGTGATAAGGAAAGCTGTCAATAAGGTTAAGGCGTTAAGCCAGGAACAGATGTATTATAATATAGATTAATAGAAAAATTAAGCTACTTAAAGAGATCACACGATTTTGCATGCATGAAATTAACATTTAAGCTTCATTGATTACCTGATTCCTTTCTGCGTAGCCTCGATTTGTTGACGGATTTTTTCAGATTCTTTCTGGTAGAACTGAGATTCATTTTATTGTAAATGAGTAAGTTGAAGACATGATCTCATTGAGAAGGCATTAACATCCATAATAAATCTGTGAGTTCTATTTTCAGGAAACAAACTTACAGTTCAACCACTTTATGTTCTCATTTTTTATAATTTGGACGTCCGTGGAATATTACATAAAAAGAGAGAAAAATTTGTTCATGATTAAGCATAAATAAAGACTAAAGAGTTGAACTCTTATGAAGTAGTTACAAGAATAAGCATTTTGATACCTGATTGAGTTCACTTTCCTAGCTCAAAAAAGTGTGTGTGTGTGTGTCTATATATATATATATATATAAAGAGTTGTAGTGAGAAAAAGAGAAATAGATTAGGGAGGTTTTATTGAGAAGTTTACACGAGTCGCTATATTTTTAGAGTAAACATTAAAGTTAAATAATATAACACGGAAATGGTCTAAAGGCAATAAAAAGAATTAAAACTTTGGCAATTAGGTGACTTATACCAAAACCAATCCTTAATCCATAAATAAAGCTAATAATCGTGCACACATATGTATATAAAGAGGTTAGCCTTCCCAAATCCAAATTGTTCGATCATTATTTTAGAAATAAACTCATCAAGTTATTGTCATACCTGAGCATTAATTTCGGCAACAGATCCAGTATTGGAAGAATCAGCGCAGGCTTTCTTGTACCTGTCAATTGTTGATTTAACGCTGCAATATTCATAATGTAACTAATATTAGGGAATATAGAAATTTTCTGAACCATAACTTTTACAGTATAAACTATACAAGAGAATATTCTCCAAGTCAAAGAGAGCAAACCGGAAAAAATAATAATAATAAAATAAATTAAAATAAAGGTTAGTGCTCTAAGTACTAAGGTCTCCTAATTTGTTAAGCTCATTATTGCTTTTACAGTGAATGAATGCATATGTTAATTTCTTTCAAATGAAATGTTAATAACAACAATGGAATTAACACATTAATTAACGTAAAAAGATGATTCTAACAAGTGTTTTTAGCCTTCAAAATTAGGCTACATATATTACTTAACTCCGATGAACCAACTCAGCTAAATCTTGGGTAGGAACAAATTTTACATTTCAAACTTTTAAGATGTACATACATCACAATTTTCAGTCTTGATGATTAAAGTAAAAAACATGAACTGTTTTAAAAAAAAAAAAATTGTCAGCTTTCACTCAGTAAAAGTCATATATAAAGGAAACAAAATCAATATATGAAGTAAATTGTCTCACTGAAAATTAAGATTTTTTGTTGCACATCTTAGAAAAGTATAATTTTTTGTAGCCTCACTCAGTCATGATTTTTTAATATCTTTTTTATAAAAAATAAAAAATAAAAAATAAAAAAAAAAAGAGGTCGTGATTTTTAATCTTTCTATATAAAGCATTTCAACTTTTAAAAAACTTTCTAAAAACAATGAACAAATAAACAAAAACAAAAAAAAACCTCAATATTCTAATATCCTAAAGCAAAGTGAAGGGTAAACATCTGACTTCCTTGTATCAGAACTAGTCAGACTCAAAATTGACGGATATGACCTAGAAAACACAAAACAATCTGAAAATGTAAATAGAAAACTGTTGCCTTCCTAATTGAGACGAGTATTAATATTCACAAAAAGCAAATTATGAAAAGCTTTTTTAAACAGAGAGAAATAAATAAAAATCCCACACTTTTCGAGGCAGTACTAAAACCTTAATTTCGTCGAGCCTGTGAGTGGCTGTCTTTTGCCACGATGGCCAGGCTTTCACATCTGATAGGTCTAACCATTTCGAGGGTCATATGAATAGAAAGGCGTCAATCACAAAATTACACGGAGGATAATCACCTGATCATCACCCTATTAACCACCTCGTGAAATCCACTTGATTTTACAACCAAATAATTTAATATTATTTCAAACAAGTCCAATGAAAATATTAGTATAAAGATTGGTCTTTTCAGTTCTGAAACTCTGATCCGTATATCACAGTCGTCCACTCAGCTGTCACTAGCGGCAAAACACTCAGAACTCTCCAATTGGTTCACTCAGTTTCCGTACATTTTATTGTCAGCTCTTTCTCTCTCTCTCTCTTTCTCTCTCTAAAAACTTACATAAATATATGTGTGCAAGATCTTGGACAAACGCAAAGGCAATTTTCTACAGAGACATTATCGTGATAACCCAGTTGAGCTCTTCTGATTGGCTCTTCACTCACTCTCTTTTTTCACTCTTTTGATCTATCTTTGCTCGTTTTGCTTTTAGAGGACCTTTGTGAAAGAATTTTCACCTCTAGGAAAGAAAAAAAAAAGACATAATATATATATATATATATATGTGTGTGTGTGTGTGTGTGTGTGTGTGTGTATGTATGGGCGTGAGTGAGAGCTATTTGAAGTATAGAAGATAAAATTAGGGTTGAAGAGGTGATAAAGAAAGAAAACCCATTATAGGAATCATGACCTAAACCCTTTTGTCAGAAGGTCAAGAACTGAAAAATCATGTGTGACGTGACCAAAGATTCTGTTGCCCAAGGCAAGAAAAACCCACAACCAAATCCTTAACAAGATCGCATCCCATTTCCTAAACAAGTGTTAAAAAAAAAATTTGGAAAGAAAACACAAGCGCTTTGAAACCGGACTGAGCTTTGATTTGTCTGTCCCAGATGCTTCTCCAATATTTTTTTATTAGATTTAAGGCTTGCCCATTAAGGTTGTTGGACAAATTTCATCATCTACCATGTAGTTACTTATGAACCCTAATTTAGTTATGTTTGACTAGTGAAATATGTGAAATGTTGTTCCACGTGATGCAAGTAAGAAACTAAAGATTTGGGAAATTTTTCCCTTGGATCAGAGAGAGAAGGGGGAAATGTGAAAAAGGAAAAGAAAAGGGAAAAACCCTAATTTGGGTGTGATTGGTTGTAAAAGGGAGTGGCAACATGTTTCAAGTAAAAACCCATTTCAGTGTTTCTAAAAATTCTGAAAACCTAATAATATTATTATATGTTGTTCTTTTTTTTTTAAAAAAAAATTCTGAGGAGGACGTTGATAAGTTTAGTTCCTTCAAATCGTACCTTTGCTTTCTTGATGTCTAACTGACGTGCTAAGGAGATATGGAAGGCTTTGGTTAATGAGTGTGTGACAGGTTTTCCGTTTACGCCTTCCCCTTTAGCCCTCCCAGATAACATGGAGAGACAGATAGAAAAAGAGAAATGGAAAATATGTCAAAATTGAAAAAAAAAAAAAAAAAAAAAAAAAAAGAAAGAAAGAAAGAAAGAGAAAATTTAACAACAATGGAGGAAGGTAAAGGAACTTAAATCAGTGGCCAGTTACACATTCCCAAGTGTCTACTTGTTGCTATTTACAACAATACTTTGCTTCTATTTCCATCTATAAACACTAGATCTACACATCTACAAAACCAAGAGGTGAAAAACTTTTCTCATAAACAGAAAGATGAGGAACCATAAAGCTCGTATAAGGAAAGAAGACAAAACAGAAAGAAAAAGAAAAAGAGAAATCAAACTTACTTAGGGAAAGTAGAGGAAATCAGGAAAAACTATACATATGTAGTTCAACTGAAGTGAAAACTGTGTACTAAAAAATGATTATGATTTTGTTCTAATTTAATAACCCAAAACAAAGATCTCATTTGCAGAAATACAATATATATATGTACACGATGTTCAAAATTTTTAAAAGAAGAAAACTTAGGCTTGTACTAGAAAACCCTAATTAAGATGCAACTAGGAAGATATCAAGAAGGAGGGCAAGAAATTAAGGCTTTCCTTTTTAAAAAAAAAAAAGGAAAATAATAAAGTAATTATAATACCTCTGGTTTGCATACTCATAGAGACGTCCACGGGTAGAGAAGACGATGAGAGCAACCTCAGCATCACAGAGAACTGAGAGTTCATAGGCCTTCTTCAACAAGCCGTTTCTCCGCTTGCAAAAGGTCACTTGACGATTCGTCGTGTTTTCGATCCTCTTAATCTCGATCTTCCCCCTTCCCAGTTTCCTTTGCGGAGAATCCATTGACATCATGGCCTTGTTTTGGTACGCCATACTCAATAACAAGCTGAAATTCCAAGCAGATCATTACACAGATCAGCATATATAATTTGAACACAAAGAAAAACAGAGAAGTTAAAACTCTTTTTAATTAGTCTTGCTTGATCCATGAAATTATAAACTTATAAATCTGTTGACAACATATATAGCTTCAATTTTCTCGGGGAAGAGATTTCTAGAACAATATAAGATTTACCCAAAAGGAAGTAGAGTAAATGATTATGATCAGTAATGTAATTAGAAGAGTTTTTCTCACCGGCCAAGCTAATGTGAAACAAAAAGAAGGGAAAGAAGATGAGCCAGAAGTTTGAGCTTTTTTTTTTTTTTTTTTTTTTTGTATTATTTTTTGGTCCCAGAAATCTAAGTAGGGAGAGAGATAGAAGAATGGAAGGAAGGTTTGGAGTTAGAGATAGGTATTTATAAAGTTAAAAGTTAAAATTGACTTTTCATCTATCACACTAACATCCAACATACTTCCACTTAGCCAAATAAAAACATATATACTTCTATTTAATCTACATTATTATTATTATTATTATTTGTTTTTTCTCATCAAAGTTTTGTTTTTTGGTGTTTACTTTTGAGTGGTGGGCGTTGGAGATGAAGCAAAAGAGAAGGCCAAAGATGGGAATCAGCACTCATTTGATTCAGATTCGATTAACCATTCTTTTTTCATTTACTTTTCTTTTTGTTTTTTGTTTTTTTTTCCTTTCATGTGAATTAGAGAGGGAATTAGAGAAGAGAGAGAAGGAGAGAGAAAGCGACTTCTGGAAGCGATTATTAATGTGGTGAATGCGACGTTTTGGAAGTAATTTAGACCTCTGCCCTTAAGAATAATAGCACATATTTTGGTATATTTTCTGCTTATTCATGCCTTAATATGTCTAGCCTTTTCCTTTCAAGACCAAAAAAAAAAAAAGAAAAAAATGGTTTCTTTTTTTTTTTTTTTTAATTTAATCCAAAATATGGTTCTAGAAATTTTTATTTTCTTGGTTTATATAAAGACTCATGAATATTACTCACTCTCCAATGCTCTAGCAAATCAGCATATAGCAAAAGAGTTGTAAAAGTGGGTGTTTTTGCCAAACTAAAGTCCAATAGAAAAGGGGCCAGGGCGGTTAGATCTCCAATTTTCCATGTTAGAATTATGTTGGTTTAACCTTTCTTTTGCTTGTTAGGTTACCTTTCAGTTAGCTTCTATAGTAACCAAAAGATTGTTTTCATGTTCTTTACTTGCAGCTAATGGACTTCATTTTCTTCTTTTTTTTTTTTTTTTTTTTTTTCCCTTTTTTTTTTTTTTTTTTTTTGCCCTTTCTTTTTAGAGAGAGGGGGCCATTGAATTAACCATTAGAGACTATGAGTTCTTTTCACTTTATTACAAGACCCCACCCACCCCATTGGACTCATCTCCCCCTTTCTTACTCAAGAATACCGTACCCACAACTTGGTGGACCCACCTCTCTCATCTCTCTCTCTCATCTCTCTCTCTCTCTCTCTCATCTCTCTCTCTCTCTCACACACATTTTTCACTTTCTGTTTTTGTTTTCAACTTGGTTAATTACAATATATCTTAAAATATAATTCATGGAATAACTGTCAGTGGGGGCAACATTCACAAAAGTGAAGCAGGCCGGCATGTGAAATCCTGGCCCCCCAATTACCATCTTTCTCTTCTTAACCTTGAGGTCATATCCAAAGTGAGCGCTTGACATTCCAGAGCTAGATTGGATTATTTCCCCATTTCTACTGTATAGTGATGGCCATATTTATATAACAGGCATATATCTCCTAGCTTCATTCATGCCTGAGGGCTGATCTCACTAGCTTTCTTCCCAGTACAAGTAAAAAATAAAAAATAAAATAAAACAAAATAATTAACTACCTTCGGAGTTGGCAAAAGTACTCTTTCTTTTGTTCTTGTGAGAACTATATATATATATTGACTTTACCAAACTCGCATTACTTGACCACATTCTCCAATTTTGCATTCCCGTCCGGGCATTTAGTCTCATCATCGATCTAGAAGGTCGATCATATTTTTCAGTTGACCACTTTGGTCTTATTATATATATATATGTGTATATAAGGTATGCATATGTGCCATATAATGTGAACTTCTTGTTGTGGAGGCTAGAAGTACTCGTCACTTTTCCTAGCCAAACTTTGAAACATATTAATGTCAAACGTACACATATTATATATATATATACATATAGCTAGCAATCAAGGACGTCATTTTATCAAAGAAAGAATGAATGAATTTTCATGCGCCTGGGCTACACAAATATGGTATATCTCGTACGTAATTGATACTTAATTAAGCACATATAATTATAAACCCCTGTGATGAGCATCATTAATTAGGCGGTTTAGTGGGGGGTTTGGTTTTAATTCATCTCTCTCCAAAGTACCATTCAACAAATATCCCAAAAAAAAGTACGAATATTCAACATTAATTATAGAGGGTGTTTGCGTTCTGCTTGGGCGGTTTTTTTTGGGTAAAACTCACTGGCCAAATTAAAAATAATTTTTTTAGGCGGTATGAGCAGTTTGATTTTTTGACAAAACCAAATCACTCATAAGCAGTTCGAGCGGATTGGTTTGGGCGGTTTGAGTTTAAAACTAAAAAAGTTTTTTTTTTTTTTTTTAAGTAAAAGACAAAAAGTTTTCAATAATTCACAAAAATTATAAAATTATTAATTCGTAAAAATAAAAGAAAGACTTAAGTTTACAATACAACTCAAAAATAGTAAATGTCTAAAATTTCACGGTTTAAAGTTTTAATGCAAACAAATAAAAATGTGATAAGGTGTATATAGAACCTTTATTATGACCAATAAAAATTAAAATAAAAATACTTTAAAAATAAAAAGTTATATGATTAAATTTTTTGATTGATTATTGGGTGGTATGGCAACTCTCAAAAAAATTAGATTAAAAGATCAACTAAACTGCCCAATAATTCAAAAATAATTAATGATTTGGATCGAGCGATTTTAGCGGTTTGGTGGGTATTTTGAACACCGCTATTAACTATAGTAACTTAATTAGATTGCAACATGATCAGGACCAGCAGCGCCCAGTGATGTTAAATTTTAGTTTCTGAATTGCATGATCTCCGCCATTAAATTATCAACTTTTTCAATTAGGTATTAATTAATTAAGCATTTCTTATTTACTTTGTTATAAGTTATTAATGCTCGCTAGTCGAGAAAAATGAAGTTATACCAAGTTTTGTTTTGGATTCATAGTATGTATAATTGAGGATTAATTTGGCTGGAAGCCTAGAACTCTGCTTTGATATTTTGAGTTCGTTTCTACTAGAGGCTATTTCATTTTCTTCTTGCAATTCACTTTAAAAAAAATAAAAATAAACAGGAAACATAGTAACTTTCATTTATATTATGCTAATTGTCTTATTGCTTCCATAGACATTTATATATTTTAAAGAGGATCAGACTACCTGCCTATAAGCTCAATGATGGATTCGACTCAGGTATTCACTTTTTCTATCCTTTTTCTGTCTACCCTCAATAATCCGTAATAAATATTTTAACTGACATAACCTTTTAATCCATGTATCATGGTATGATATTTTAACTGATATGGTATTTTAACTGACATGATTTTACAGAAATCAAAGGATATTGGGCCTAACTCAACCTAATAAAAGCGGCTTGTTAGGGGAGGATTGCCCTCACCTTATTAAGTGGATTATGCCAATATCTCCAGCCAATGTGGGATTCTAATACGCCCCCTCACCGTGAACCATGCCAAACCGCTGCGAATAAGTCGATATTGGGGGACCCAACATTGCAAAACTGGGTCTGCTCTGATACCATTTTACAGAAATTAAAGGATATTGGGCCTAGCTCAACCTAACAAAACCGACTTGTTATGGGAGGATTGTCATCACCTTACTAAGTGGATCATGCCAATATCTCCAGCCAATGTGGGATTCTAATACATGACATGATATTATTAGATTTACATGAAATGAGACAAAAAAATAAAGGATACAAGAGTCGAATCCATTAACTATCTACATTCATACAAACATAAAAACAGACATATATATGCACACGCATTTCAATAATATTTATAAGAACTCAGTTCAAAATTTGCTTATTCCACAAGTTTCTCAAAATTATCAAGGGCAAGTTAATGGATCTAAAACCTAGATTATGCTTCCATAGAAATTTCGTATAAGTAAGCTTCCATATATGGCAGTTCATTATGCATATTTCAAAAAAGTTTCACAAAATATATCTACTTCTAAATAGAAATAAGCTTCCACGCCCTCAGAGGGATCAAAAGTCTATGCCTTCCAACAATAAAATCTTCGCCGTATCTTGCTACAATGATGGAAAGCTAGCTAGTTGCTTTTTCCTTCTCTTATTTGACAGTGCAAATTGAAATAATGTTATTCAACTGGACGATAAATTCCTTTATTGTGTAAAAAGTAGTATACAAAAGATAAACCTACGTAGTAAGAGACTTTGGTAAAATTTATAGCCTTTATATATATATATATATATCAATCTTGACATTCCCCATGAAAGGAACACCATATGCCAAAGGACAAATTAAGTCATGATCATCAAATTGAAAAAAAAAAAAAAAAAAAAAAAAAAAAAAAAAAAAAAAAAGAAAAAGGAAAGCTCTCTCTCTCTCTCACACAAAATTATTTCATCACCGAATGGTTTAAGTGCATTTTACGCTTTAACGTATAATATATATTTCACAAAAATAGTCCCCAAACCATTGAAATTCTAGAGAGGAAGAAAAGGACAGGTTTAATTCTGTCTAGCTAAGAAGGGAAAGGCAGTACAGTTATTTGATTTCTACATGATAAGTGTCCCCACTTTAGTTGTAAATATCAACTTAGTTGTAAGATCTATTTTACCGAATGACTAAACAGAAGAGTTTGATACATAGAGTATATATGTAACTTCATATACATGTATTTGGTCATCAATCAACTCTGTAATATATACATGCCCAAGTCTAATAAAACCCAAATATTCTCAAAGGGACCACAAAAAGAACAAAAATTATCTCTCTAGCTAGCTAGGAACTTTGATTTATTGTATATTGTTGGGTGTTAATGTAGGTCTTCAATGCAAAACCTAATCACATAAATGCATATCAATACAGGCCATTGAAACCGTCACCTTATTTCTTCACCATGCTCATAAATTGTTGTGCTAATTCTGCGAAGCTTCGAGTTGTGTTCACTCTCAGTTTCTGCTTGAAAATTTGGGCTAATAAGAAAGGGGGCTAATTAATAATTAAACATATATGTACTACATAAAGTCAAACCGCTTGTCCAATTTTCAGTATCCAATGGCACGGTATATCTGTAATCATATTTTATCATATCATGTAATGATTAACAAGCACGATTAAGTTAATTAAACAATATAATTTCACATTTTTAAATGATATGGCATGATATGATTGGTTAAACATAATTTTAGATACTTAACGACCCGTTTGGTAAACAAATTCAAAATGTGGTGTTTTGGGACTTTTTTTGTTTGAAAGGGAAAGTTTGAAAAAAGAAAAACAATAGTTCAAGTTTTGGTTCAAAACCACTTGAAAAGAAGGGGCTGTAAACTTCAAATTTATACCGTTTTTTTGGTTTAAAACATCAAACCGATGGTTTGAACCAAGACTGTAAGGCCTCAAATGGTTTGACGCATGAGACAAGTTCAAACCAATGTTTGGTTGAAAAAAATAAGAGGTAGTTTGAACAGTCCAATTGATTAGAGTCTATATTACGCATTAATCTTCTAAGTGGCTGATTAAATGTTTGGTTTTGCATCAAAATATAGTTTTTTTTTGTTTTTTGTTTTTGCTGATCGCATGAAAATATAGTCTATTAATCCGTGCACGGGCCCAAAAATATTTATGAAGGCGTAGTGTTTAATAATTTTTCAGTTTCAATGAACATAAATTAATGTTGATGAGCCAATAACAGCTAATTACCGGAGATTAATCATGTGCTCATAATAAATTAACTCTTACCCACCAATTGACTCAAGCTACCTAGTTATGGTGTGACCCCACCTGTTACAAGAAACCAATTATATGAACAATAACTTGATGTTATTAATTTAGAATTTCCAGATTGGGAAAGGAAGCATAACTCTTTTAGTTGTTTGCTCTTTTAAAGTTCTTGAGTTTTTCGAATTTGACGCCGATAAATTTTTAGCATTCGGATATATTTTTCAACATTTTCTTTTTGTGGAAGAGTTAATTTAAACAGGCTGGGATAAATAAATTTAACTATTCCTTGAAAATAAATATAACGTGTGTTTTGGATGTTTAATTATCCCTTTGGGGGACATCTGATAAAATTTGAAAAATCAGAGAAAATTAGCATAGTCCCTGCATAATAAATGTGTATTTTCTATGTCCTCAATATTGTAATCCCTTGAATTTAAATGTCGCATAAAGTTGATATATTTTCTAAGCAACCATTAATTTTCACTACTCAAGTGATGATTTTATCGTTTGAAAATTATCATGAAATTGTCTTGAATAACAATACTCTTACATCAACAAAGTATTATTGTTTAAGTATTATAAACGAATATGTAAGATTTTCCACTAACTTTTTCTCCATATCTCCAGTTTATATCTTTTTGCTTTTCACAATTATGGTGTTTAGGATTATTTAGTTATAAATGCGAAAGGTTTCTGTCTCTAATTCTTTTTCACAATTATGGTTTTTACGACTATTTAGTTATATGGTTTATATGAAAAGATAAATTTATTATTTAAGTTGTCAAAATTAATAGTTGACCAAAAGATAAGTTATAAATTTAACATGAACTTACAATTCAAGGGTATATACAATGTTAAAACACCAAAAATATTTGGTATATGTTTATTTTATAAATATAAAAATGCAAGTTATATAAATGTTAAATTATCCTCATCTATTCCTGAAAATAGAACGTATATCATGATTACAAGAAAATTAAAGGAAGTGAATCAAAGAAAAATGAAGAAATTGTGATTAAAAAAATAATAATAATAAAGGATCTGCAATACCGCCACCTAAAATGGATCTTCAAGCCCAGTCTTTTTTTCTTTTTTCTTTTTTCTCAATTTTCTTAGTTGCTCTTACCCTTAAAACCCATAAAAAAAAAAAAAAAAAAAAAATTTGGCTTCATTAAACAGTTTTTTGTTTTTTTTTTTTTTTTTTTTTTTTTTCATTTTTGATGTAGCCCTAAAATGCAGCAAATATCCTACAATATGTACAGTTTTATCATAATACCCCTATAGTTTATTTGTTACGAACCATTGATGAAGTAATTTCCGTTCTTCAAATTAACAGAATGATGAAAATAATGTATAATAAAAGCGCAGCAATCACGTGCCATTATCATGCCTTTATTAATATGTCGATGCTCATGTTCGACTACTAATGTGTTACGTGCATGGCATGTTTTATACCTAAAAATTACATCAAGTATAGTCAATTTAATAACGTGTTGGCTGTTAAAAAAAAGTGTGTTAGGGCGGGGCTCGTTAATAATAATAATAATAATAATACGAACTTTTACATCTCTTCATGTATTTCTATAAATAGATATGATTTAAATAATCTTGTATCAAATAACGTGTTGGCTGTTAAAAAAAAGTGTGTTAGGGCGGGGCTCGTTAAATAATCGGTTGTACTGTCTTGCATCCACGATCTTTGTGTGCTATGTTCATGTCATAATAATAATAATAATAATACTAACTTTTACATCTCTTCATGTATTTCTATAAATAGATATGAGCTAAATAATCTTGTATCGTTGACATTTTAATTAACTGTGAGTGATATTTTTTTTCCTTATAATCTTCTTTTTTCATGTTGGTTTAAATTTCGTTTTCGTAATTCCTTTCTTCACTTGGAGTAGAGATAACTCACAAAACAACAACGAAGTATGAGATTCTCTTATATTATTGATTTTATATAGTGAAGTTCTTATTGAATGTAACTCTTATATTAAAGGCAAGCCACTATAAATCTTGTGTATGCTCATTTATCTTCTTTTTTTTAAACACCATTACTCTCTTTTGAAAAGGATTAGGGTGATTAATATGTAACACTACCTGAGACATTCCCTTTAATTATACTCTCTCTATAGCTAAGTTTCCTTAAATCTTCCCTTTCAGGAGTGTTAATCTATCATCCTAATGAATTATATATGACATATTGATAAACCAAAAATGTTATGATTCTTGTCACATGTCTAATTTTTGCGCATATATTAATTTATTGAAGCTTAATCAAGAATGATCATGATCTTATGGTTCTTGTGATCAACTAGACCTGACTTGTTTTTGGAAATTTCTTCATGACTAGCCAATTTTACAATAATATTGTATCCTTTTATGTGGATGAGACTCTCTTTATATGTTTTCTTGTTTCTTTTTAGAGGCACATGCGCATCTGCCCCTTGCCACACCTCCTCCTACATGCCCAAAAAGAAAAAAGCAAAGCCAAAAAACAATCTTAATTTCCACGTTGAAATTCTTCAAATTCGGTAATTATTTGCTTTTTTCAGTAATAATATGATCTCGTGCTAAGAGGGACAATTCAAATTTTAACTTTGTGGATGAAGCATAATTCCTCCAAAATTGATTTTAGTTGATTTCCTGGTGGAGAAAATTTAAATATTGGGCTTGCATTTACGTGTTTTCAGAAAATTACAAAAACTGACCTTTAAACACATCCTTCTGGAGTTCTAATATTTTGTTGTGATAGGCTACCCCTTAGATAATAATCTGTCAAATTACACCGGCCGCTGGTGATCGGAAACCCGCCATGGGCCGCCAGCGTAATTTGTCAAATTATAGATAGGGTAATTGGAACAGATGGTCCCTAACCTCTTGAGTAGGTGACAGTTTGGTCCCCATTTTTTTAATTTTGGCAAAACGATCCCCAACCTTTTTAAACTGGTGCAATTAAGACCTTTCTGTTAAATTCCGTTAATTTTTTAACCGATGTCACCACGTGCAGTGCATGTGACCTTGTTAAAAAGGGTATTTTAGTAAACTTCATAAAATACTTTCTTAACAAAACTTAAAATTAAATTAAATTAAATTAAATTAAATAGGAAAAAACCATTTTCCATTTTATGTGATCTTGAGGAAGACAACGATGTACTCTCCGGCCTCGCCCAACCCTAGCACAGCCTAGTCCGAGCCACCATGGAAGCAGAAGGGCTCAAAGGAGAATGCTCCACCATCAGAGCTAAACTCTTTGTCCCCAATTTCGAAGCACTCGCCGGTGATCTCCGCCGCCAAGTTGAAGAGGCCGCTTCTACTGTGACCGCCGTCGTCAAACCCTCTCAAGAGGAAGCTTAGCATGGAGACGTTCCCGAGAACTCCATCGTTGGAACCTGCGAATCTGGAGTCCAAGTATGGTTGGATGTGGATTTTCTTTTCCATTTATTCAAATTGTTTGCAAAATTTGAGGTTTCAAATTATTTTGTTCGTAATTAATGCAAAAAAGATGAGTTTTCCTCATGAATTAGCTTCCAATTTCCCACGACTTGACGATTTCTTTGTCGATTTGGATCGGATTTTGTTGAGGATTCTGCATAATTTTGATGTTAGGGTTTGTTGTTGCGGTTGGGTAGGGATTGAAGGAGAAGAAAGTGAATTTAGTTTGAGGGAGAAGTTGCGAAGCTTGAGCAGAAGAGAGAGTCGGTGGAACTTCCATGTGGGTGAGAGTTTTGTTGCGTTGAATTTGAAATTGAAGTTTCTGGTTCTATGGGTCTGCAATGAGTTTGATTGCATGGTTGAATTCCTAATAATTAGCCTTGTAGAAGAAGGAAAGAAAATATTATTTATTGATAACAAATTTGTGCTTATACTCTTTCCCTCTTTTTTTTTAAATATCCCTTAAGACCCATTTAAAATTAAGGCCATTTTGGTCTTTTCATAGTAAAAAGGGTCTCGTGAGGTCCTTATACGATTTACCCTGAGAAATTTGACAGAATTTAACGGAAAAGTCTTAATTGCACCAGTTTAAAGATGTTGGGGATCGTTTTGTCAAAATTAAAACAATATGGACCAAACTGTCATCTACTCAAGAGGTTAAAGACCATTTGTGCCAATTACCCTTAAAGATAATAATCTGTCAAATTACTTACTCTAAATGAGCAAAATTAAATAGGTTAATTTGACAGAATTTAACGGAACGGTCTTAATTGCACCAGTTTAAAGATGTTGGGGATCGTTTTGTCAAAATTAAAAAAATAGGGACCAAACTGTCATCTACTCAAGAGGTTAAAGACCATTTGTGCCAATTACCCTTATAGATAATAATCTATCAAATTACTTACTCTAAAGGAGTAAAATTAAATAGGCTAAGTTGACAGAATTTAACGAAAAGGTCTTAATTGCACCAGTTTAAAGATGTTGGGGATTGTTTTGTCAAAATTAAAAAAATAGGGACCAAACTGTCATCTACTCAAGAGGTTAAAGACCATCTGTGCCAATTACCCTTATAGATAATAATCTGTCAAATTACTTACTCTAAAGGAGTAAAATTAAATAGGCTAATGTTGAGACCCAAAAATCTTTAATAATATCATTTTAAGAGGTATTTGTCAAAATTATCCATTCATATAAGTTCGTGCCGCTTCTAATTAGAAATAAATGGCTTTACCTGTTTTAGAGTATCACCATCCAAATTAGCAAATCCTCTTTCATTTTCATCTTTCAAAAGATATATATATATATATATATATATATATATATATATCACCATCTGTCG